CCCCAACCCGCTTTCGATAGGTAACTAGGTTGTGCCACGGTCTAAAAAAGCACCCGCTGACAGTAAACCCTCAAAATCATCGGTTGGTTTGCGACTTACAAACACCTATTACGCCTACCCTCCTCTACAATAACAGCGACCAGGAAGCGTATCAAGATATCACCGTGGCCGTCGATTCGGAACTCCCGATGGTGGTCAAAGCCTACTTCTACCTCTCCGCCTTGTCCACTGCGACTGTCGCGTCGGTGTCTCTGGACATAACCTACTCCTCTGGTGGTCAAAGCGTCGAGGCGGAATCGTTCGGGTTCCTGGACTTTGTGGCCTCGTCCGCAACGTCGGGCACCTGGACCCAGGGCATCGAAGCCGTCTATCCCACGAAAGTTGTCACCAGCGCGAGGGTAAGGGGGAGGCGAAACGAATGATGAGGGCTTCACGGTTTGATGTCAGTGGAGGGTTTGGGGAAGGACGGGAGTGAGCAGTCGACAGCCCCATGCGTTTAATAGAACGAGTTGCCACGGTCAGGTAGTCGTCGCCCAGTTCTTTTCGAGGGATTGGGTGTTGATCGACACGCAACGCAGAGGTACTTGAGCCGAGACGTCCTCGAACTCCCATAACGTTTTATTGTAAGCCAAGCACGGCCCACAGAAAAAGTGTTCCTGTTTTTCCTTCCTCCTGATTGATCCCGGGTGATACGACAAATGAACATCGAAAGGTGCAGGCTGGGGGCAATAAACATGGGTCGAAACGCACACGCGCATACACACACACACACACACACAAGGTCGGGCTTCTGCTCATCACAAACCAACCCGCCCTGCCTCAACCCTTATTCGATAACGGCATAGGGAGTTAGATACCCGCACGTGCCTCTGGCTCATTTCGCACGTTCGACTCTTCGCAAAACCGACCGTTTTTGAATTTAATGCCGCTGTGCACGCGCTCGCTGCCTCCCGCATGCGTACGTGCATGCAGGTGAAGATTTCCTTCTCGGGTACGGGTGAGGCTGCCTTCACCGGGGTGGCACTCTTCGCTCACCCGGACGTTGCCTGTCGCTGCGAGGCGGGATACTACCTTGACGTCGCCTCAGCACCGGTACGAGTATTGTCTGCCGGGTCGTTTTGGTGGGACCAAAGGTTCTATTTCATGCATGCATGCCTTTGGGTATGTATACGGTCGCAGTTCGTGGGTTCTTCGTGCAGGGGATGTTTTCGCCAGGCCTCTCTTTTAGGGTTGACTGTCGAATGAATACTGCCTGAACTCGTATCTCGGGGTAGCGCAAAAGTCTACCCTGGATGCACTCGGGCGCGTGTTCGACCTAGCCGAATAATGTCCAGCGCAATGCGCAGACCTCCCGGACACGCGACCCACGAACTACATCGCACCCCCGCGTAGTAAGTCCTTGTACTCTGACCAGCTTCTTGTTGATCTCTACTGCTCCCCCCAACACTGTTTACCCCTTGGCCGTCATGTTTGTTGCTCATCCTTGCATGGCCTGTTTTAACAGGCCCGGGCGTGTACCCCAAAGCCGGAGTGCACCTATTTCGAAGGATGGTGCACCTATTGTCCGGCCGGATACAAGTGTCCCCAGGTGACCACGTCTTAGAAATAGTGGAGAGGGAATGCCCTCAAAGACGATCGCTTTCACACCTGACCCCCCCGTACTCTGCAGTAACATAGTGGTGGGGTGGGAAACGACGGTGGCACAAGGATTGTTCTTGACGCACACGGGCAAGTTTTGGCATGCAGAATACCTCAAGCCAAGCCAGCGAAACCAATCATGTGTCTCGGTACTAGTCCCTACTTTCCCCCAGCCGCAAGACAGATATAGAGTAATACGCGGACCTCCCACGTCGTGGCCTCCTCAGGGAGGAGTCCTTACGGCCTGCCTCGATGGTGAGTACTCCATGGGCGGCTACATCGAGTGCCTCCCGTGCCCCGTCGGTTGGCTTTGCTCTCAAGGTGAGCGAGCCCCCCCCGTTCACGTCGGTAATTCAGGATGACGTGGACGGTTTCAAGTCGTTGTCACTCACGCCAACCGGATGGAGTGATTTGGTGTCGAAAAAGAGAAGTATACACCCCGGCCTTCGGTCTTCTAGCCGACTTTGGCACTTCCTTCGTGTAGTGCTGTCAATGTTTTCGCCCCTAAACGCGAGCGGATCCTCGTCAACGGACCGGCTCAAAAACGGCTATAATATGCTATGGGTACACGAACCAAAACAGGGCTGTCGTACTAGACTACACAGACAATGCTGGGGTTGTTTTCTCCCCATCTCACGAAACTTCAATTCATGCAATTGGGAGGCGCTCTCTGTCCACATCCTGCGAGTAAAACATGACATGCACCCTGCGAGTAGTACAAAATGTGCACCCTCTTTCGACGTGCTCTTCTACTACTACCGCGTGCAGGCCTCGGCGTGCCGTGCGGCTACGGGGCGACCCGAACCTCCCTCACCACCAACGCCCAAGAGGAAGAGGGGTCGATGTCAAGCGTGGCGGGAATGTACGGAGGTAGCTGCATCTTATGCCCGGCGGGCATGGAGTGTCCCGGCGGGGGAGTGTTCCAGGAGTGAGTCCTGTACACCTGTGCGTGCATATGTACCGCAACAGAAGTAGGGCACTTTCGTGCGTGCAACTTTTGACATCATTTGCTTGCTCTGCATATACAATCGTTCGTTGACGAAATGTACTAGTCTAGTAAACATTTTTGCTTTTTCTTGAACATCAGGTGCGAGCCAGGGACGCACGCCCCAGGTGGAGGGCCGAGCAACATGTGCATGCCTTGTTTCCCAGGGAGCTTCACGAACGACACGGCCGCAGCGGAGTGCGAAATTTGTCCCCCCGGTGGGTGTAGGTAGTACCTCTGCTGTAGTCCTTGGAGGTCGATCGGAAGTGGTCCAGGACCCTTGTTGGGCGAGATGGGGGAGTCTGCTGCTGTCCTGAACAAAGATACCGTCGTTCATGTAGTGCTTCCTTCCACACCGTTATCCTCGCGTCCTTACGAACCTGAGGCGAGGCACATAGTTTTGGCGATCAAGTTCTCGCGGCACCAGGGGAGGGGGATTCCATGGGGGGGGGGGGCTCTTGCGCTCTCCAGTTAGTTAGACTATTAAGCCGGAGGGAGGGAGGAGCAGAGAGGACTTGTACGCAAAATGTTGCAGTAGCAATAGGGCAGAGAAGAACAATAGAACGGGAGCGGGCCCGCTGCTCCTTACATGGTCTTGACACTTGCGAGTTGTTTTTGATGTTTTCACACCTACCCTGCGGCCTAGGGGGAGTGAGAGGGCCAGAGTCCGGATTATTCTTGACGATATGCTCCATTACCAATAACCACGAAATACAAACAAACGGTGCTCTTGTTATAATCATTTTAATGGTCATATAGCGTGCTCCACCGAGAGCGTAGTCTAGGCTGTTCTTGTATGATTGCCTCGCAGAGGGGCGCCGCCCCCTCTCAGAAAGCTCGTCGTTAGACATAAGCTCGTAGGTTGTTCCATGCATGGTGAAGCAAAGGCACATGGAAGAAGATGAATTGTATTGTGTAGAGATTTTGCGCTGCCTCTACAGTATTACTGTGTATTCCTCACGCCGACCTCCTCCTCCCTGTTGCCGCTGAACGCCCCTCCACCGCCCCACCCCCCACCAACCTGCCCACCCACGCCTAACTGCTTGTTGTTGCCTGTCTCCTCTGCTTGCAGGTTTCACGTCCAACTACGGCGCCAACGAGTGCTTTGAGTGTCCGTCGGGATTCGTGTCTGAGGCAGGGCAGCACCCGTGCGAACCGTGTAGTTCCGGGAGCTTTTCTACAGGTATTCACCCCGCCCCGCCCCCCAAAATCCCGCCCGTGTAGCTGACCGATAGATACGCAGTTTTATAAACAGCATAAACATTTTCCCTTGGGAACAAATCAACGTCTTCGTCAAAAAAGAAGGGGTCATTGTTGGGTTATTCTTGCCGCTCTCGGTGCGCGTTCGGGGGCGAATGAAACAAGTCGTCTACTGGAGAGGCTCGTTTCTCGCTCCAGCTGCTGATCGCGTGACTGCACTGTGTTTTTCCGTGGCCCCGTGTGCCCACGCCTCTTCCCCGACCATGCGTGTCGTGTAACAAAGCGGGCGACGCGGAGTGCACGCCGTGTCCGATTGGATACTACGGCGAGCAGATCGCCATGTGGATGTGCGAAGAGTGCCCGGACTCGAAAACTACGGTAGCAGAGGGATCTACTTCACAACAAGATTGTGTTTAGGCCACAAGTGCAGTAGTAAGTAGAGGGAACATGGGTAGAGAAGTGAAATGCTTACATGCGTGCTGCTGTGTCATAGAAAAATAATAGCGATGTTGAAGAATTGAGCCGCCTAGCGATGTTTTTTTTTTTTGTCTCCCATCATTGGACTCTGTCGTCTGCCCCTCTGGCCCCTATCCTCCACTTCTACTAGCTAGACGACCCAACCGGGGTAACATGGGAGGGGGGGGCTGGACCCCCTCCTGCGGTTCCTGCCTGAGGTATTTTTATCGCGAGAAGGGTGCAGCAATCCCTTCCCTCGCGACTTACGAAGTCGATTATGGTTTACTAACAACGAGCTTTGCCACGCGTTGCTTTCATCCTAGACCAGGAATTATTTAGTGAGAAAAAAACTCACTCTGCCAGATGTGTGAAGTGCGAAAACGCCCAAAACTGTGCGCGTTCGTTTCTGCCAAAAGTCTTGGAAACATGTAGATCGAAACGAATAGCAACGACGTGGACGTGTCTGATAGACGAGATTGATTGGTGGATGTTCCAAAATTTGGGAGAGATACTGAATGGGAGTTCCAACCACTTGCATTGTTTAGGTATGGCCGCATTGTACTTGTGGTGTCAATACTTGTTTACAGATATGATTCTAGTGATGCATGCAGCACGGCGGCCTCTGAGAGCAGCATCGTGCATAAGCTGGAGAAAGTCAGACATCGCCAGGCGAGACACACAGCCGAACTGTAGGCTGGCCGACTGCGATCTGCCTTTTCTGTGCGGTCGCTTGCTGTTGTCCACCCTTGCTCGTCGATCATGAGAAAATGATATTACTATTACTTCGGCACTCCGCAATGTCATTAATGAGAAACACAGGCAGGCACGAAAGGCGTCTTACATCACAAGGACCCTCGTCGGCTCATTGCTTCCAAAACAACAGATGCAGCGTTTCCTTACGCGCACTCATGTAGGCGCAGCGACGCAGCTCACCACCAACACGACGCCCACTCTGAACACTACATACGTTATCAAATATCACCAAAATAGATCTGAGACGAGAGCCAAGCGGAATATGAACAGTCCCAGTAGCCCTGCTATCTCGCACGTTCAATCCTCGACAAGCAAGCGGTGGCACTCTCCGCTTCGCTCTGCAAGTTGGCAGCAGCCAAACATGTCACCCACGGATATGACCGACCACAGCACACCGCACCCTCCGTAAAACGTCATCCAATACATAACAAACAGATACTGTAGCGCCGTAACACAGACCCCAAAAAGGCGGCGCACAAGCCCAACACTCAAAACATGAAGTATACACGTTGTCAGGCGGCACAGGGATTGTACGCGACGCACACCGGCAACACCTGGGAACAAGGACACTCCACAACTACTGTCACACCACTTGCCGACCTACATACCAAACTCGGCATCTATTAGCTGCGCTGCCTGTGTCCTACCGAAGCAGCCATCATGGTCGATATCCTCGAAACACGCCGAGTACCTCCACACTCACGAAAAACGAAAAATCATCTTGACGCACACACAACGGACGCCGGCCAACCCAGCCTGTGCCACAGCTGGCACGCTCTATAAACGTAAAATGAACGCGAAGCTCACCCTCCCCTCCACACCTTCCTGTCGACAACATTTTCTCGGCCGCCTGAAAGCATCGCTTTCCCCGAAACAACCAGGAAGGTTCCAACATGGCAGCAGCAGCTATACTACTACGATTGCCTGAGATACGCGAAAGGTTTGTTGGAACGTCAAGACATTAGGGGGAGAAGACAACACGTCGCTCGTCCTGTTGTCCATAACTCTACCGCTAGCTTGGGGGCTGATACGCGCTGCAACAGCATTAGTACGCAACGCTTCCGACCGATTGGGGTCTCCATCACCGGGGTGGGGGGGGGTGTACTCATAGTCGTGCATGCCGTAGTCGTTAGACCATTGACCTCCCATCCCTACGAAGCCGCGACCGAGCACGCCGGGTTCTCACCGGACCAGGCTCTCACATCACCAAGCGCGAAGCACCGTCAGGTATTCGGCGAGTCGCATGAAGGGTGTGCTGCATGCTGCTAAGGGTGTTCGGCATCTTGTGCTTACTTGCGTACGGATGACAGCTGCGTATGAGTTAATTTAGTTTTTGGTGCTTTCACTTCCAGAGACAGTTATAAGCACTGTGTAACTGCCTCGAGGGTGCGTGACCACCGGGGAAGGCAGAAAACAAGGACGGCGCGTTCCCAACGCTTTCGACCCCCACTGGGGCCTACGGTACTCATCCCATCTCGACGTAAACAACCAAAGTTCACGCGCCGTCCCACAGCTTCAGTACCCCCCTGCCGACCACGCTTGTCTCAAGGGAAGTACAAAAAACTCGAAATGGACGTGAACAAAAAACTTCAACTGACGCCAACGAATAAATCCAGAGCCGTACGATCACCGTGCTTACCGATCCAACTTGACCCCCCGGCGCGCCCAATCCGTCGTGTGGGCATACACGTGACAAGCGCAACATCGCCATTGGCAAGTGTGCTGCTTGCCATGCTCCCTTTCCCGAGAGATTGTTGAATACGTTTTGCCATACCTCGCCGCCCTCTCACCCCCCCAAATCCGCAGGCCCCTCCTGGGTCTGCCCCCCGCTCCCCCCNCCCCTCCCCCACGCCGCTACGCGCAAGCATAGCGGTCCATATCCTTCCTTCGCAATTGCGCATCGCCGAGGACGCATATCACCGGTGGCGCACAGGGGGGCCACGGGTGGCACCAAAGACAGCGCCTTTAGCACGGAAAATCACGCCAGCACGTACACGTACGTACGCATGGTGCTCTTCCCCCCCCCCTCACGATGTCGCCCCACGCCTCCCTGTTGTTCCCACTTCCCTCCTCAACAATGCTTGAAAGAAAATAGTGCGCCCTCCCACTCCCAACCGCCAGCAAAGCAGAAGTCCCCTCGGCCTCTTCTTCGAAAGCAGCGGCACCAGCGGGCCAACCTACATGAGACCCATTTGTTGCATCATTTCGACACCATGCTTAACTTTTTCCCGCTTTGAACCGGGGGGTGCGACGGGTGGGCCCGTTGGCGGGGGCCCAGGGTACGCCATGGGGGGCGGAGGGTACCCCGGGTAGTAGTACCCCCCCTGCTGCACCTGGGGTGGCGGCGCCGCCGCTAGCGCCATCCCCCCTCCAAGCGCTGCAGGCGCCAGCAACGGTGGTGCGTCTACCACTGCCGGCGGCGGATCCTCCTTCTTCTTCTCCTTCTTCTCCTTCTTCTTGTCCTTTTCTTTCTCCTTGGCCTCCTTCTTCTCCTCCTTCTTCTCCTCCTTCTCTTTCTCCTTGGCCTCCTTCTTCTCCTCCTTTTCAGTCTTCGGCGCCGGCTCCTCGATTACCTCTAGGTTGTGCTTGTAGGACGTGTACATTCGCTCGCGAAGTCTGATTCAGGCGTTGTTGCCGCGGAGAGCACAAAAAAGGCGGGCGGGTGGAGAGATTTTTAGACAGCTCGAGGTAGGTCCACGCTGGTGACAGCATCAGCGGTCCTGGGTTCAACAAGCAGGGCTCCACAGGGGGGGGTTGCACAATCATGGGCTTAACAAGGAGGGGGGGGGGGAGGGACACAAGTAACCCGACCCACACATCGACCACCTATTAATAGTGAAGGAAAACTCGGCCATAACGGCACCCCTACGACACCCGGCCCCAACAGGACACGATAACAACAATACACCCGTGCACCAAGGACAAGAAGAGCCGTTTACTATGGCCACAAAAAACAACACACCTGTACACGAAGACGTGAAGGGCCGTGAAGCCCGGCACACCGAAGGCGAGGATCAGGAACACCCATAGGCAGGCCCTGCCCGGCCTCTCGTCCCAATCGAATACCTCGAACGTCACCCTATCTTCCACGTTGTGCTCGTAGTAGTAGATCACGTTGTAGAAGATGTACACCACGAAGAAGTAGAGGCCAAGCCAGGCGTACTTGAACTTCATCTCTGTCGCGATCAGAAACTGATCCACCAGCTGGGGTGGGACGAACAACCGGCATAACATCGACGCAGTCAAACGAGCCAGTTCAAACAGTGAGCGGCCCCGCAAAACGGAGAGGGGGCGGTGGGGGTCGGTGGACTTGGCGAAGATGAATCGATGGTGACAACATTCTACTATTATGCCCATGTTGCGAAAAGCGGCGACTGGAATTCGTGCCAAGCTTGTGCCAATTCATGTAGAGACCCACGTCTCGAGATTTTGCGTTTTCGACGCTGACACCTCCCCAAGAGCCGACCTGTATACATGTAGGTGGGTAGATACACATGGACGACTGCTGTGTACGACGAGAACAAAAAAAAAAACTCCTTCGTTCTCCGCCAACACAATACTACAACACCTTGCGGAGCTCGCCGAGGGTGTTCGCAAAAGCAACGCGAAAGCTTTAATCAAATCTATCTTTGCTTGCTTGTTGAGCATTGGGTCGTTGTTGTAGATGAAGCAAGGGGACCTTAACTGCATCGCTTCCATGTCGCGCTGAGATTGTACAGGACACTCGTTCCCGAGCAATATTTGCTTGCTGTTTTCCACTTGTTTTCCCGGCATTCCATTCTCCACCTCTCCACCTCTCTATTACGCCAGCAAGGAGGCATGTACCGCTGTAGATCGTGCGACATCACAAAAAAAGACGACTTTGACCCAGCAAGAGTCTCACAATTTCGAAAATCTGAACTTACACCACTCTGTGTTACATCAGTAGGCACTTTCTTGTGCCGATCGGGATTACCGAAAATTAACCACAAAGGGCTTGCTTCATTCCGTTCTGTCACCGGGACCATCCCCGAAACCTCGCATGACCTCCTCTCTCACCATCGTTAGCTTGGCGCTGTTCCACGTGAAACCTTTTTCGCTGAAACGTAGACGTTCAAACGCTCCCGACACGCTCAGGTATCGTCGGGAAAAGACGAAAAGGAGCACACCTTGACGATCCCTTTAGTTGCTTTCTGTCGGAAACCGTGAAATACAATCCCTACCTTCTTCATGAGTGCCTTAACACCCCTAGGCAGCTTGCCGTTTCCGACAGAAAGCAACTAAAGGGATCGTCAAGGTGTGCTCCTTTTCGTCTTTTCCCGACGATACCTGAGCGTGTCGGGAGCGTTTGAACGTCTACGTTTCAGCGAAAAAGGTTTCACGTGGAACAGCGCCAAGCTAACGATGGTGGAAGAGGAGGTTGTGCGTGGTTTCGGGGATGGTAGGGGCGAAAGAACTTTCAAGTCTGTGTCGTGTCTGTCTAGAAAAAAATCCCTGATTATCTTATCTCTCACCACCTTCTAGCGGCGTCATTAACAGAAAATTTATCTGTTTCTTTGGCTTTTATGTATTTTGGGCTAGTTTGTCTAGTATCTTCTTTTCTATTTAAATTAGGCGCTGCCGCTCAAAGCTGTAAGGGGGACACGTAACTTGCAACACACACGACGCAGTCTCTTCAATTTAACCTCCCATGGCAGCAGCAGTTAGCCCACACGAGCGGTTTTTCCTGGATAGCGTCGTGTATGTCATTGTGCTTGTTCCGAGCAGCTTTCCAACCGCCTTCTTCACCCTATGTGCCGCTATGGCCGCATCTCATGCCCTCGCTGGGTTCACTCACCATCAAGAGCGCCAGGATGGTGGAGCCAACGTAGACGCTGGTTACCGGCACGTCGCTCTCGTACTGAGGAACAAACACGATGAGTTCGGGCGGGGGGCAGACGAGCCAACGACGAGCGCAAAGGCACGGTGAGACAGATAGGACACGTATGGCAGCAAATGCGGGGTACATGATCTGCCCCCCCCCCGCCCGCCCCCCCAAAATAGGTCCGGCACGAGGGAGGCGCAACAACTGCACCATGGCAGTGAACACGGGGTGCATGACTGCCCCCCCCTCCCCCCACGACTTTGTGTTCTGGCACGAGGGACCGCACTTCAACTTGAAGGCTTAAAGATGAGTAGGGTGCGGCAACTTGAAGTGGGCAAGGTAGCGGCAGACAAGGGGCTAGAGTTCGAACTGCTGTGCTCCATGTGCGTTACAGCAGCAGCGGACAATGCGATAAAAGGCACACATTCATGCTCTTGCACAAAAAAATGTTTGATACACGTGCACATTCCTGGCTCTGGGCAAATGGCCGGGGTACCAATACTGTGTCTAACCTCCGACTACCGTACAGCAGTAGACACAGCGTCGGAGCACTCGTTTTCCGCCGCAAGGAAAAAGTTGACGAATGCCTGCCGTCGCGGTGATGTTTTCCCGTGTGCGTGAGAACGTTTTTTCACTAGTCCTTTTAGGGCGATGCCTCAGATGATCTACATGTTCTGGATATTCGACCTGTTGGGGGCTTGGAACAGCACAGAATCTTTGTGCCAAGAAAATCTAAATGTAATCAAGGAGCGACTCTCAATTGGCGCTATTTAGTTTCTACGACAACTCGCGTGGCCCTCGCTTGCTTGCTTGGCACCCGAAAAGAGACAGCCGTACAGACTAAATCTATGCATCCCACGCCCACGACATTTCACACAGCGGGGTCGCTTGGATGTATCATTGGAGTTGTTGGGTGGGGGAATACCACAGCAGTAGGCGCGCAGATGATCAAGATTGCGCTCGACATAGGGAGACGAGGTGGTGGTGGTTGCTTTCCGTGGTATTTGAGCGCATCAAGGACACAAGCAGCAGCACTCAGGCCGGACTGGGAGCCAACAACAGAAGTACACATGGCGCGGTGCGAGACATTCAGTGTAGTCTACGCAGCAAAATTGATCAAACAAACATTAGGGATAAAGTATTCAATCCGTGCTTTGGGGGTTGGGGTTGGGGGTAGGGTCTGCGTGCCCCCCTGCCTATTCATTGTTTAGATACTCTTAAAATCCTGCGTAGCCGGTCCGGGGACATGATTATGTTGAGCGAAAATGCAATGGCAGGTCTGTTGCCTTACGGCGCCGTCAGCGGAAACACGCACTCTCTTCGTGTTCCCATTCTTCCCCGAGAACTCACGATTGTCATCCAGAAGACCGACAGTACCACCATCGAGCTGATGCAAGTCAGCACCCAGCTGATGTGCTGGAGCCAACGGAAGTAGCAGGGCACCGGCGATCTGGTGCCCTTCACCGGAGGCGGTCTCTTCGGCTTCCCTTCCTCCACCGGTGCCGGTCGTTCTCGAGCAAGGTACGCCATGCACAGCAACGACGATATCAATGATATAACGAAATCTGCCACCGGGGGGAGGGGGTTGCGTTGCACGAGAGGGGGGTATGCACAACCAAGTGGCGAGAGAGACATGCGGCAGCCGGCGGCGGGGCGAGGACGCGTTTTCGAAACAGGATTGAATCAATCACGATTGACACCGCATTTCTTTGTGTATTTCCGGCGACGGCAACGGTTGCGTTTGTCGGAAGAGTGGTGGTGCGTGAAAAACGCAGTGCGACCGGCAAACAAAGCAGATGGCCCAATGCGGAAGCACTTGTACGCAGAACACCGGCAGGGCAAAACCCTTGCCCCTTAACTTAAAGACGCTCCATGGGAGACTTGCGAAAATAAAAAACCAACCACGGGCAGGTTTAGTACAGTACAATACTGCCAGTATTTTCAGTATTGCAGTACCTTTGGCCATAATATACTGTACTGCACGCTTTAGTACAGCTTTCGATACTGGAATAAAAATACTGCACGCTTTAGTACAGCTTTCGATACTGGAATAAAAATACTGCACGCTTCAGTACAGCTTTCAATACTGGAATAAAAATACTGCACTCTCCAGTACAGCTCTCGATACTGGAATATACTGTACTGGCAGTACGGCTCTCGGTACTGTACTGTACTGCACGCTTTAGTACAGCTTTCAATACTGGAATATCCAGTACTTCCCAGTATTTACTGGCAGTATCAACCCGAAATCCACCGAAGGGCGTTTTGGTGACGTCATCTTTTGGCAGAAATGCAGGACGCTCTTGTCCAATTGGTCTAGTCCTACAGTCCCACCCTGCTGCAAGCGGCGAGTAAGCGACTACTGCTGTGCGCAGTTTACTGCTGAACTGGTACTACTGGTGCTCGAGCAGTGGCCCGCAGCCACTAGGCAACGATGAGTGACGCCGCAGTTGGTCCCGCCACCCCCGCGGCGAGTGGCGCCGGCGCGGGTGCATCAACACAATCGGCAGCGCAGGAGGAAAAGCAAGGAGACGTCGAGGCGGGGTCTGCGGGTGGAGGAGCTTCGCCCTCGGTTCGGATCAAGAAGCCCGCACCGATCTATAACAAGTCTGGAGAGGTGGTCGAGGTGCCGGCGGCCACGATCGCCGCCATCGAGGGGTTCGTAGCCCCGCCCGGTTACAAGCGGGAAGGAGCCCGTGAGGACAGCTTCTTGTACAGCTGTGGAAATTACTACGTGCTAACTGGTGTTCAGAGGTCAGCGTCGACTTTCAAGGCCTTTTTCAAGTGCCAGCTTGGCGCGTGCCGGACGTCGTCCACAAAAGCGATCTCTTGCAAAAAGGCGAACAAGAGCAACGCCAACAAGCACATGAAGGAGAAGCACGGACTGCAGGGCACGAAGGGGATAGTGCGAGTACAAAACCTGCAGCAGAAACAGGGGGCTATCACGTCAGCTATGGAGGCGTCGGCGACGTTTCGCGTTGGATCATCAAGGTGGGATTTTGGGTTTTTGTGGTTGTTAGCTGGTCATCGTGGATGCGGGATAAAAAAAAAAAGGAAAAAAGAAGTAGAACTGGAACTACTGTCATGGCGGTACCAGTACTCAGTACTAAGTATGCACAGCAGTACCCGTAGTACTACTAATTTACTGCTGTCTCAAAAAACGTTAACGTTTTACGTTTATGAAAACACTAAACACTAATATAGCCGCACTCAACCTCAATCTGTCCCGTTCTGAATTCTGAATTTCGGAGCTTTTATTTTTGACTGCACTAAAAATATATATATCATTATCTACACTATTAATTAAATAAAAATAAAAATATCACTGCACTGGTGCATTACTTAGTACTGAAGTATTAGTATTTCTATTATTTCTTCCACTGCTGCTTTTGTTTGCAGGGTCAAAGAACTGGTGGCGATGGAGCTTCTTGTGGACAAGTTGCTGCCGATATGTCATTTCTCTGGGCCGAGGTTCAAGACGCTGATGGCGATCGCCGGGGACCACGATTTCCCGGCACTGCCGCCGAAGCGTGTGAAGCACCTCCTCGTCGAGTTCTACACGGCCACAAAGAAGGTGAAAAATAGTAGTTGAAGCTGGTGGAAAGCCACTCAAAGGCGCAGTTCTGAAAAGTCTTCGCGTGCAAGTTTAAATTTATTTTTGGTTTTTGGAAACTTTCGGTTGTAAAATGGAAATGTAGTGGTTCAATTTCATATTTCTTGATAAGTACGGGTGCATCTCCCAGCGTGCGCGAGTTCGGTGAACATTGAGCATTAGCATTGATCCCCTGATCGAAACGAACAATAAAATCGAAATTCTCACGTGTGCTTTTTTTTTGTTTTGTCATACAACAACGCGCGTGGTTTCGGTGCAGGTAGTCGTGGGCAACATGTTGGCGGAAGTGCGGAAAGCACCGCTTCCCATTCTGCACCACATGATCGACATCTGGACTGACAAAAGATCGGGGCGGAAGTTCTTGGGAGTTCACGTCTACTACGTCACCGCAGCATTCGAAATGAAGCACGCCCTGCTCTGTGTGAGTGCTAACTCTGGTGTTGCCTTGTGTTGGATAAGATTAAGATTTCTGCCCTTGCGCGTGGTTGTTCAGGGACAGACTCGTCAGACCTTGGATTCGTTTGTGTGCCTGCGCCGCCGAAAAGCTCGAATAACGTGAACGTTTATTTTTTTTCTCTCGCCCCCCATGTCTCCCCTCATACATTTCACCCCAGGTGAAGCGATACTCGCCCGACCAGGGCGCTCTATCCGAGGCGCGGGCCTCGGAGGTGCTTCTCCACATCGTCAAGTCCATCCTGGCTGAGTTCGGCCTGCGCCCATCGGACCTCGCCTCGGGTACTACGGACAGTGGATCGGACGTCAAGGCTGTGAGCGTCAACGGCCTCCACGCGCAACATGGGGTTCTTTGGAATTGGTGTGCTTGCCACATGGCGGTCAAGGCCTCCGAGCACGCCTTTGGCGTCTCGGCCGACCCCACCAAGTCCAAGAACCCGGAAGCGCGCGATGTCCTCAAGGTCGTGGTCAAGGTGGTCGAGAACCTCAACAAGTCTCCCAACTTGAAGAAGCAGTTCGAGGACCTTCAGACGGACCTGTTGGGCGAGGTATTCAAGATCGTCAAGCACGCTCCCCAACGGTGGCTCAGCATGGCACGTACCCTGGAGCGTATCATCCGCTTGTGGCACGTCCTGAGGAAGCTCTACAGCGACAAAGGGAGGATATTTCCACTCGAAGAGGGCGACAACAAGAACGGCATTCTACAGCTCTACTCGCTGTTGGAGCCGCTTGCCTCGATCACCCGTGATGGCCAGTACGGGGGTGCGCCGATGATGGCGGACATCTACATGAAGCTGGGCATGCTCAAGACGGAAGCGCTGAACCCGGAGAAGGAGCTCAAGGTCTACGATGTCCCGGCCGTTGGGGGAGACGGCCTCCCGGATCGCCAGGAACAGCGGAAAGATCTGCCGCACAAGATGGTAGCACATGACGACTTGCACCCCGCGGCAAAGAAGGCGCGGGAGGAACTCCGCCGTGCGCTCGTGTCTAGGCTCTACGGTAGATACTGGGACAGAAGCTGTGTGGATCCCTCATTCTTCGTCGATGCTTCCTGCTTGCTCACACCACCCTTCAGCGCCGGAAAACACATGTCGCTGATGAAGCTCACAGACGAGGAGGGCGAGTACTTGCCCGCCGGCTCGTCGGTGGTGGCCCCTACTTTGGACGAGGAGGTGGAGGAAAAGAAGGGGGAGGTCTGGGACATCGTCAAGGAGCGAACCATAGAAGCCCTCAAGGAAATGCAGAGTCGGGCAGAGGGCAGTGGCGACGGCGCGGGGGAGGGCGGTCCTTTCAAGCGTGCCCGCACTAGCGGGGGGAACTCTGCCTCGCAGAGTGCTGGCCATGACGCCTTCGCAGGGCTTTGCACCTCAGGCGTCGTGGCACCATCCGCCGCCAGTGGGGATGCGCTGGAGGTACAAGTTGCGAACGAGATCCTGCGGTACAAGGGACTTCAGATGAGCTCAGCTGATGTGAGAACAACAAAAAAGAAAAACCAAACACTACATGTTCATTGAAAACGTCTTTTTTTTTTTCTGTTCTGCTCAACAGTGGCATTCCCACTGCAATGATCGTGGGTGATGTTTAATTATGTACACCACATCCTAAACCGTGTTTGCTGCGTTACTCTGAGTGAGGCAGTTTTTTTTTCTTTCTTGTTTCTGGTGGTCTTGCGCAGATTCGATAGAAGACAGCTCTACCTATCGTTGTCCAAGTGCTGTCATGTAAACCGCGAAATAAATCTCGACAACACTCCTGATCCCGCGGCCGTTCCGTGTCCGTTGCCCTTCTTGCAGTTGCAGCCGAACCAAGTCCTCAACTACTGGAAGCAAACCGGGAGGCTTCTATTCCCCAACCTGAAGTATGTCGCGCAGCAGACATTCGGCAGTCAAGCCTCTGCCGCTCAGATCGAGAGAGACTTTGGCACCGCCGGTGTTCTTTGTGCTTCAAATCGCAGTCGTTTAGACGAGTACTGGGTGGAAATGATGCTGTTCCTCAAAGTGAACATCCACTGTATTCCCAAGTACGATGACATCCCCAGGATCGAGTCGAACAGCATCAGGGAGTGCCTCCCTGCGAGGTTCAAGGGAACAGACCAAGATCTACTCAGCGCAGAGATGGCGCTTGATCCGCTGGAAGACAAGACACCTCCCAACATGTCGTCTGCTGTTGGCGATATCGTTATCGTGGATGGGTAGTCATCAGTGTAGGAGGATTGAAAGGTGCCATTCATCTTCTGCTCTTTGATCTTGCTTTTCGGTGCTGAGTAGTCATGACCGCCAAGACAGAGGGTCGAGGGAGTATCGGGCGGGAGGGGGGGGGGGGGGCATTCCAACGAGCGTACATAGTGCCTAGGTGCTTGCAAAATACTGGTGGAATACTGCCAGTATTTTAGTACAGCTTTCGATACTGGAATAAAAATACTGCACGCTTCAGTACAGCTTTCAATACTGGAATAAAAATACTGCACTCTTCAGTACAGCTCTCGATACTGGAATATACTGTACTGGCAGCACGGCACTCGGTACTGTACTGTACTGGACGTTTTAGTACGCAGTTAAATACTGGAATAAAAATACTGTACTGTACTAAACCTGCCCGTGATTTTTTTATTTACCACAGCTGGAATAATACCAGGCTGCGTTTGGGTCAAAAGTAAACAAAAAGACGCCGGAACTGCAGCGCAACCATCACCGACCCGAGCAAAAAATCGACGCACGCACATGAGCAGACACGGAAAACGAATGCAAACATTATGAACTACGCCTAGGTCATCCAGCTGGGGCAGTAAAACACGAGCATCCCAAGGAACGCTGTGCCAAAAAATTCCCCATGCACAAACAAACGCGTTTTCCCAAAAGGGGCCGACTGCATTTCAACGCGCTGCTGTCCTGCTAGCATACGATCAATGGTCGATCGAGCGCAGCACGACAGAGCAGCCTGATTGACGCTGTTCCAACAGGTACGAACAGCACCGGCCGCAATCAGCTAAGCAAATATGATTTGTCCGCGCGACGTCAGACCCCCCCGCAGCCCGCAGGGGGGCTACACACACACTCACAAGCTGTCGCGAGCATATGTGTCCACGTCGCGAGGTATATCCGAAGATCGAGGTCTTCTCCTCTGTCCCACCAAGCGGCCCACACGATGCAGTAGATCGCCATGGCCGCCTTCCACCCTACGAACCAGCCTTGCTGCAAGAACCTGCTCGTGCCCGCGCGAAGCCCTTGTTGTCTCGTACCACCGAAGAGAGCTCGCGTGCCATCGATTGCCAACCCTGTCGCCGACTTTGCAGCCTCAACCTGCTGGGCCGGCGTAGCCTTCAACAAACAAAACAACAACGGGGTTGTTGGAGAACAGCAGGGCCAGCAGGAGCGAAGAATACGAGCGTGAGGAAAGAGCAGTGGGTGTGCACGTACATACGGTACCGGTTGCTCGCGGCGCGTCCTGCGGCAACGACTACGGACGCCCGTGAACGCGATGATGATGACGAAGCGGCAAGGATTTTTGCGTATTGCGGACTTTATATATATCCCGGACAGCCGATGACACAGCATATTCTCTGCAGATAGCGTGCCCCGCGCAAAACACGAGACAACTCCAAGCTCACCATGCTACCACGCTGCTGTCGATGCCCTCAGCCTTGGCTGTTAGAAAGAGTGTGACGCGCACCAATGTGCGTTCGCCATGCACAGGATGGAGAAAAGAGACGAGAGCAGGTGACCCCGAAAATGCTTTCCCCATATATTTTTCTTGCTTAAAAAAAAAAAGATCCCTGTTGTTGTAGCGGACGTACGCGAACTCCGTTCCGCCTCATCTGGCCTCATGATCCATATTTCGAACGGTCCGCAAAAAGATCCACCGGTCCACGGCGTGTGAAAGACACAACAGCACCCGTATTTTGTGTTTGGGCTCACCTATTAAGGATTGTGGAGAGAGTTGTTTGTCGACCCGATCGTACATGGGCAATCAACCCACTTAACTTCCACTCGGAGTTGGAGGCAAAGGTCGCACCCAAGTGTAACTTGCATATGGAATTAGATCCGAGGGAAACTGACTCCGCTAGACGAAAGAAAGGCCACCATCACGCGTCATGGTATTATAAGTCTATCGTACAAACTGATGAATGAAGGGGTGACGGGACAAAAACAAACAAACGCGGTCATCATCATGTTGTGTTTCTTACTCACAGGCCGGCCGTGATGGTCCATAATGCCACTAATCACCTGAATCAATGAAGTAATATCACGTTGTCTCGAAAAAGGGAATGATGAACGAAATCAGTAGCCTCCAGACAATACTGTGCACCGGTCGCCCCGGTGGTCTAGTGGGTAGCCTCGCAGCCTGCTGAGGGCCAGGTCATGGGTTTGAGCCCGGGCAGAGAGAGTCTTTTTTCTCACTAAATAAATCCTGGTCTAGGATGGAAGCGACGCGCTGCAAAGCTAGTTTGTTAGTAAACCATAATCGACTGCGTAGACTAAGTCGCGAGGGAAGGGGTTGCTGTACCCTTCTCGCGATAAAAATACCTCAGGCATGAACCGCAGGAGGGGGTCCAACCCCCCCTCCCCCCCCTCCTATGTGACCCCGGTTGGGTCGTCTAGCTAGTAGAAGTGGAGGATATAGGGGCCAGAGGGGCAGACGACAGAGTCCAATGATGGGAGAAAAAAAAAAAAAAAAAACTAAGCATGCCTTCCTACTCCTTCATTTACGTTCTATATAACGACTTAGACTAATATTATTGTGCTTGCTTGCGCCATCCATTCATGATCCATTCCATTTATTTCCATAATAAGAACGCCAAATTAACGCGACAAACTCATAGTCTAATAAATTAAATAACTCGAAACTGTTGTTGCGTCCCACAACTAACTCGGGAAACAGCCTATCATACGAAAGAATGCATGCAACAAGTTCCACCACTCTCGAAAACTAATGTGGTATGTATAGTCTAGTCTATTACTACTTGCTGTACCTCCCACATCACCCTACCTAGTAGTCTACAGAGTAATAGACTAGACTAGACTATACATACATACAGAGTATCAAACTTGTTGACGTCGTCTAGTCTACAGGTGGCAACGACTGGCTCCACAGCCCAGTACTCATTCATCAACTCGGAACGACTAAACAGTAACAACAAGCTTAGCACGTTTCCACGCCAGGCAGGTGTTGATGGTGGTGCAGTTTTGTTTCTCGGCCGACCGGGCCGACCACACTCCCCACCCTCGAGGGGCGAACGAAGGGCTTTCTTCGCAAACTACAACTCAAACGAAGACGAAACAACATGCAAGTCAGAATCATGTAGTAGGTAGACTAGCATTTCCATCCACGTATCAGGCATCATGCCAAGCACACCCCTACCCTCCTTGGGTAGGACGCAAATAATGAACCTACCGACGATCTCTACGCTGTTGGTAGACCACGTAGTCTACACAGACGCTAGTAGTAGTAGTAGTCCGTGAGACGACGAGAGGACCCAAAACGATCGTCATGATACACTCGACATTGCCAATACATCATCATGCTACAACAACACTTGGGGAAATGGAAAGAGAGCGCCAAGGACCCGGAGGTGTGGTACAACAAGGTCGATCGAGGACGGGGCGGCATGGCTTATGAGGAAACGGCACAGGCAGGAGGCGGAAGCGTCCGCGAAGCGCCAGCGCGCGAGGGAAGCAGAAGCAGAGGGTATGGCCATCTCAGGACCGAAGAGAAAGAGAGTCGGGAAGCGGCGGATTGGGGGAAGAAACGGCGACCGGGCACCACTCACTGCTGTAGAAGCGAGTAGGGCGGCCGAGGCAGCACTACTTGTGGCGAACTTTTTTTTTTTTTCTCCCATCATTGGACTCTGTCGTCTGCCCCTCTGGCCCCTATCCTCCACTTCTACTAGCTAGACGACCCAACCGGGTTCACATAGGAGGGGGGGGCTGGACCCCCTCCTACGGTTCCTGCCTGAGGTATTTTTATCGCGAGAAGGATACAGCAATCCCTTCCCTCGCGACTCACGAAGTCGATTATGGTTTACTAACGAGCTTTGCAGCTCGTCGCTTTCATCCAAGACCAGGATTTATTTAGAGAAAAAAACTCACTCTACCGGGACTGGAACCCATGACCTGGCCCTTAGCACGCTGCGAGGTTACCCACTAGACCACCGGGGCGACCGGTTTATGTACCCGGCTGATGATGTTGTTGCACCCTTTTTCCCTCCCTGCTGTATGCTATACTCCTCTGTGTATATGCTTTGTATTGCCTTCGGCCTCTGTCCTCCTGTGCTTTTTTTCTAATCTGCTGCGCTGGGTACCTTTATCTCGCTTTTTTTTGCTGATGCTTTTGTTTTTTGAACGTTGTTGCTGGTACGTCACCCTTTGATTTTTTCTTTAGGCGGGTGTGGGAAGCGTCCTCCTTTATTTTTGTTTTTGTTGTATTTTGATCGGTTTCCGAGGGCTCTTTTTTTCTCGAACGGTCGGTGAGGTACCTGTTATTTTCTTTCATCATTTTGTTTTCTTTTTCCGAGTGGTTTGTATCCTGTTTTTGTTTTGTTTCCCCGCGGCGTCATACATGTATGTGCCGGGTTTTGAGACCACGGGCTCCCCATTTTTTGTGGACTTTAGTCTAGATAGAGCTATTATAATGTGAGAAACAACAACAACAACAACAACAACAACAACAACAACTCGGCCTTGCCCCCCCCCGGATAAAAGAAATCGCCGGTGGTTAACTTCTTCTTGAGGGCGGCGGTGTACGACAAGCAAGTGCTGTCAAATCGTGCCGCGGTCACAGAAGGAAAACTGGGACGGCACCCTATGACCACAAAAAAAGGAGGACGATTGCACGACCGTACGGAAATGTTTGTCCCTCCTAAAATACTGGTCTACTTGAAAATAACACAACCACAAAAGCATATATATATCATGCACAGACACCAATGCATGTGTCCAATCAAAAATACGTGAAACGCAAACGCGACAAATCTCTTCGTTTTTGATTCAAGAAAAAGGCATGCTGAAGCTGAACACACTTTGGCGCTACGAAGAGCTACTGCCTCACGTTAGTCCAGGGCAACACTTCATACCAGCACACAAAGCGTTAAACCTTGTGGGTGAGTACGACAACTTCGCCGTCGCTCCGGTTAGTAGAACCGTCAGGAAAGGGAACTTAAAATTCTCCGAACACACGAAAAAACTGCACTCCGGAACACCTCCGTCATGTCTGTAACAATTCCCGCTAATAGCAATGCTTCATAATTTACAGAACACAAAAATCTAGTATAGAATACAACGTCAAGTAATCCCCACGTTTCTAGTTTGCATGTGGAGGTGCCGGTCATGTTCGGACGTGTCAAAAAACATCATTCTAGCACCAATTCTTCCCGGGTGAACCACGGATCGTACTCGAATGCTTAATATTATGTTTACACACCACATCTATCGGTGGTAGATGTATGACATCTAGCTGGTTCTCCCTGGTCAGATTCTGGCAAGACAGCTCCCCTCCTGCAAGCCTAGCACTTTCCCGGGGGCTAGGCCACTACTGCGAGCCTGACGCTTCTCGGCGGGCCACCTGCCCTCCGAGTTGTTTTCCTAGCAGTTTAACGTTGTGTCCCCTACCCTGCGGCTTTTTCCGGGGACGTTGATGCTGTGTCCCCGTATCATAACACGAATTTCTTACCGCCTTCCGCGAACAACGCTTTCCTTCAGAACGCGTCAGTTCGCAGCATAATAGTCCACTACTGCAACCTGCTCGTCCGTGTCAGCGGCCTTATACTACATCAACCCGTTCCTTCCCGCCGAGCTCCTCAACCGCCCATCATACAGCAGGACCTCAAGCTTGGTCGCTCTCCTTCAGTTCGATCGCTTGGGCCTCCGCAGCGGCCTTTGAGCTTCTGGCTAGACGATTGTGGTAGACTCTTTCGCGGAGCCTGTTTTTCGCGGGGATGGGAAAACGTGGACATTGTTTGAGGGATAATGGCCAAAGCGGGTTGTTTTCAAGACCAAGCGGGTGCAATCCAGTCAAGTTTTGGCGGCGTATAGACCCCGATCGATTATGACGAGCATGGTGACATCAATGTCGGAAGGCGCCCACGGTGCTGGCAACCAAGGTCTTTTCCTCCGTTGGATTTTGTGTTAAACTCGGACGTCCACTCATCATCTATCGAGCCAAACAACAAAAGGTGTCCGACACACCCTGTCCCGCTATCTCAGACTCGGTATTGGACACAAGGACTCGAGAACGATGGAGCGTGGGATACACCAGTGGTTTTCGTGGTGTGAACCTTGACGGGTTTGGCGAGTAGAGAAGAATATCAGGGCTAGCCAGGCGAGCAAACTACCGCGAGGTCACCCTACGCATGTAACTGCCGTTCGACGCTCGACCCTAACCGTAGGGAGGCTGGGGAAGAGTAAGGCGGCCGGGTCCTTCAGGGTGCGAGGAAAAAAAGTGACTAGTAATAATCGGGACTGCTTCAAGAGAATAGCGAAACTCAACACATGCGGCATGTTGACCATGTACTACGACGTCTGCGCGACTTGGGGTGAAGGGAAGAAGATCGGGGTGAAACAGGATGCTACAAAATAGGCATCGTTCTTACCTAAAGATGCCAAAGTGGACCAACCCGAAGAGCGGTGCGCCAACCAAAATCGCGCCGAAGGCATAGATGCACGCCCCTAGAGTGTTATCTTCCCAGTCGAGGATGATGTAAATCAGTCGGTCATCGTCCGGGGCGAGATAATACCAGCCCACGTTGAAGAAAATGTAAATCACCCCGAACGCCTGCGGGAAGAGGACATAACGCAGCTTGAACTCGTCGGCCACCAGGAACTGGTCCAGCAGCTGGGTGCAGGTACGTGCAACAGAGGGAAGCAACGGAGAAGGGGGGAAAAGCAAGCGTTCCATGACAGGCGCCATGCTGGTTGGTGAAGGCAGGAACGGTCCAAAGGTCTCCAGCAAGAAGGGATTTGAGCGTGAGAGGGCATAGGGGAACACATCAGAGGTCATTTCGAGGGCACTTTTCATGAGAATAACAGTATAGCGTCGAGACCAACAGGCAAGACACAGAACGCTCACGATGCCAACCGCAACAGCAGTTCCTCCTACAGTTACAAAACTACGTGCCCACCATGATGCAGGCTACGAAAACGTGTGCTTGTTCGTCGACCGTGGTGAGTTTGTCTCCATCGTACTAAAAGGCGTGCATGATAGCACACACACGTGTTTCGATCGAAGTGGAAGCAGCAGCGGGAGGGAGGGCGGGGTGGGATGTTTTGTCAAAAAAGTTGCGCCACAGTTACCTCTTTTGATACGGGAGGAGTCATTGCGCCAATACACTCGGCAATACTGCACAAAAGGCACGCATCGAAGAGATAAAAGAAAAATGAAGCCACGTCCATCGGTGGCTGGTATTCACCGTAACACTCGGCTCTGATTATCCGTAAGCAGCAAGTGCAGAGTGAAAAGCGCTTGCAAAGCGAGTTATTTCGCGTGGAGCAAACAGTTCCTGAACATGGTCCACCGGTGCAACTTCACGGTCGCGACATTGAAGCATGCATTTTTTTATATTTTGTTCCTGTGGAGCAAACACACGGCCAGTCCGCCGCCAATTCTGAGTGACCCGTTTGCGAAGGTTCCCCTCTCCTCCTTTTCACCCTTTCTACTAGAGTGCGCATCCGCACGTGAGGAGTTTACCGGCTAAACATCGTCTCAGGCATGATACGCAGAGACCCATCCAGCACGAACGACGGAAGGAAAAACAACGACCACATAATCACCAAGCTGAACAAAAAAACACTCCGAGCTGGACCTGCAGACTACTCACCAAGGCCCCCCAAAATATGGATACGACAATTAGCGAGACTATGCACGCCGTACTCCAGAGCGCGAGCTGCAGATGCCTTAGCGCCGCCGGCACGGGTTGCGGGGAGCCAGTCCGGTCAGACGGCCTTGACGATGTTGGTGCGTCGAACGCTGGGTCGCCATCCCTGACGGGCCCGCTAGCCACCGTAACCGCAATCGCTCTCCAGCACAGGAAGGCCGACAGGGCAGAAACGACAAAGTAGGTGGTCGTAGCGTACCAGGTCCAGTGTGTCCTGGTGTGCAGTGCGACATTGGTATTAGAGTAGTGGTGTTGGTGGTTATGTGCCGTCCTCAACGTGGTTTATTTCTTCCGTTCTTCCTCTTCTATTATTTCCTCAAAGTCGGTTCCAGGAGCTTCGCGGCCCCCACGGAGTGCTCCCCCCCCCTGCTCCTCTGGCGCAGATGCCGGTTCAGTTAACCCCTAAGTATCCCCCCCGGTGGGCGACTGTTGTTGGGATCGCGCTGACACTCGTAAAACCTTCTTCACGAGACCCTACCAACGTGTGTTGAGCAGGCAAGCTACATAGTGGTGAGGCAAGGCACGTGACACACGCGAGCACCACGTGGCTTCCAATGTGCTTGTTCGAAGCCTTCTGCTTGACATGGGCACGTGGGGTCAACGCCACAGCATGATGCGCGCTCACCACAACGTAGCCACTTCAACGTCTGACACGCTCGGCTACCAATATAAACAGCGGGTCCCACCCCCTCCTCCTCCCTGCATGCCGTATACAACGCCCACTCACAAGAAGCGGCCTGTATTGTAGTCCTTAACCGCACGCCAAAAAATGGCCCAATACAGGAAGTACACCGCCAGTCCTAGCTTGTACAACACAAACATTCCCTGCGGGAGGAACCGCGACGTGCCTATGCGTGGCGTCTCGTCGTCGAGCGGAACAGTGCCGCCGTGCCTGGTCGCCTGGAAAAAAAAATCGTCACCACCCATTAAAGAATGCGTGTAGCGAAGTTCCATCCCCGAGATGTGAGCGCGGCCGGTGATGCCTTCATGGTGTGGTTTGGGCGCCGATCGCAGAGCAAAGGGATCTTGACCGCTGCCTCTGCCTGTAACTGGATTTCAAGGAAAGTCCATCTAACTCTTGTGCCGCACGGCCGAATTCTGCATATCATTCTGAGAGTCATATGATAGCGTGCGAAACGAGTGTGATATTTTTTTGCACTTGCATACAACTAAGAAGGACAATACTCTGTCAGAAAAATGCCGATCCCATCTTAAAACCCGCAAGAACCCAGTTACCGTAAGATTGCGAGTCAATGCACCCCCTTGCTGTCGTTTCAAAAACATTTTCGCCATTTATTTGTCATCGCTCACGTGCGATGACTCCGGACCATGCGGAGGCTCCGGACCATGTGCGGAAATCGAAATATGGTTCTGATATTTAACGCAAATTCCGGTGCGATAACTCCAGTATGTGCGGTCGGTCCTGAGTACAACCCTGAAAGCAGTACCTGGACTTTCGACGAACACCCCTGTGCGATAAACCCGGTACCATTGGAAATACAAATGTTGTTCATTTTCTTCATACCTCCACATGCTGTTTGCGACGGTGCCATACACAGCGGAGCTAACACTGGCATGATTGCAGGGGTAAAACTTGCCCCGGAATCGTTGGGAATCAACTAACTTTTATACCGTAGGTTGCGAGTCATCACACCAGTCATCGCACCCCTGTGCGATGGCTCCGGACGCTGCGCGGAAATGGGATGATATCGTTTAGCCATTTATCCTATATCGACGAGGGTGCGACTGTGCGATAACTCCGGACCATGCGATGATTCACGATCTTACGGCATCCCGAAATACAGCAGCTACAGCAGTAGGTTGGGAGCTCGAATCCCGACGAGGCATGTGTATTCCGCATTTCGTGCTTACTACAGCAGTAGATGAAGTGATGTAGTGCAAAATGCTTGTTCCTGAGTATAGTAGGTTCAGGGAAGGACGGCCGAATTCATCTCGAGCGTAGGCGTGTAGCAGAGGGTTTCTCATGTGTGACTGTACGGATCGGAACTCATTCTTGTGAAAGGGTTAGAGCAGGGCGTAGCGACGCCTGGCAGCCGTGGAACGTCGAAGAAACAAGTGAAGAGAGAACACCGGATGAACTCTCTCTGTCCTCCTCCACAGATGAAATCACATGTCAACGTGGCAACCTTGACTTCACTTCACCCAAAGAGATTCGTTCAAGGGTACAGTAGGTGGCCCGCTATAGTGGCAACCAAATAGTGGAAATGCCCTGAATAGAGCATCAAAATCTCTTGGCAAAAATCTCAACCAAGTGTTTGTTGTTGTTGTTGTCGTTGTTGTTGTCTTCACAATAAAAACCGTTCCGATCTCTCTCTACCCAGTACCTTCGTATGTCCGTACTGATACAACACTCGACGCGGTCGATTCCCGTGGTCGCAGGCTAACTTACCCTAAAAAGGTACAATACTTTACCACTATTGAGGACGCGGCCCTCAATAGTGGTGTATTGGGCATCCCACACACCCAATACAGTCGAGGGACCCTTTTAGTGCCGGTACGTGCACAGAGCGTTCACCGGCACTAAATCGGGCACCCGGCACTATTGCGAATAGTGCCAAAACGGCACTATTGAGGGCTGGCCAATCCCTCATTAGTGCCGGTACCGGCACTAATGAGGTTGTGTTCGATTTATGGTGTAGCGCCCACGCTTACGGGGCCAACAAAGAACGAAATGGATCGACACTATTACTGTACTGTTGAGTGAAGTTCCAGCATGGGCGTGGGCAGAGTTGAGTTTTCTTTTTGTTGTCTTGGGGCGCTCTTTGGTTCTTCATTTTCTTCTGCACCTCACTTATTTGCTTATTTGTGTACTGTCGTCGGGACAAATTCTCTCCTGTTTGCCTGGCGCACCCGCTTCGATGTTGCAAGAAAAAAAAA